CCTGCTTTGTCTCCTGGGGCCTGCACCAGATCCCTGTTGAAAATGCAGCAGAGTGGCTGGGAAGCTTGGCCTCGAAAAGGCAGGGCCCAAGGAGGGGAGGAACAATGCGCTGGTGTAACACAGCGCTACCAAGCAGGGTGCTCAGGCAGTGTCAGGCAATGTGTCCCATCCACTGCCCTCCCGATCCCTGGGGATTCTGCCTAGGGAAGAGGAAGGTAGCATTAATCCTTGTACAGGCATTGTAGAGCCTTTCAGCCACTGTAGCCAAGCAGAGCTGTCCCTCTTTTTTGAGGGTGACAGTGTTTTCTAGTGGGGTGGACGTTTCAGGTACTTTTGGCCATGGCAGTTCTTTCTCAGCCTTGCGCACGATCTTGGCTCGTGAACTTCACATTGCACTTTAAGCAACACCTTTGTGAATGTGATTTTTGTTTTATTACACGGGGATGGATTTGGCTTGTACTCAAGTATGCTAAATTTTTAGCAATGCTTTCTCAAAAGAGTCTTAAATTGCTTCCGTGTTTCTGGCAGGTGGGTCTCTTGTTAAAAATCCCGAAGTTACAGATAGCTGATGTGACATACCTTGGCCAAATGACAGAGTAAATCAGTGAGAACATTAGAAACAGGACCTGGGTCTCCTAGCTTTTCCCAGGCTTGTGGATTAGCCAACAGTGGGCTCCTGCCAAACAGGCCAATCCATTCTCCTCCAGTCTGGAAAGCAAAGGAGGAACCAAGCGACTGGAGTCGTTTCCCTACCTGATCCCACTGGACTGATGTAGTGCTCAGGGAGTGCTAGGGAGTTCATACATTTTTCCCAGTGGGTTGTAGCTTACAGCGACTGGCAGAAGCAGGGACCGAAACAGTGCGCAGTTGGTTAGGAAGACTAAGCCTTGCAATGCCTTAGCCTGTGCTTCCTTACCCCATTGGTGCTGCTCCTGGGTGTCTCCCCCTTACCCCAGGAGATGCGGCGGGCTGTACTGCAGAGGGCCACAAGCTACTGCCCTCGCCTTCTTCCCATCGATTCCTGTCCTGAGCAGCTGGTCCTCCTCCAGGAGGAAGGAAGTTGAAAATCTCTTGAGAGGTTTCATGGCCTCCAGAGCTACTTGGGAGAGACTTTTCACAGAGCAGGCAGGCCAAATGGATATTATGACCTTGGATCAATTTTTGCTGACACCTGAGATGTGATGTGTCACCACATTCCTGCAGGAGATCCCCCGGGTCTTACCGTACTGCTGCCAGGAGAGCTTGTCCTGGCTCTTCCCAGAGGGCAGGGCAGCGTGCAGGAGCTGGCTGGCCCAACAGGGCTGGAGCAGATACGGTGCACCCTGCAGAGTAGACCTCATAACGTCACCCACTAGACCTCATAACATCACCCAGTAGACCTCCACGGAACTCAGGCAGCCTGCTCACTGCCAGCAGCAGCCTTGTTTAGGCTTACGATTGCACTAAGAAGGTTTGTGGCACCTTTCCCCTCTCCCTTGTGATGGAGAACTGCCTGCCTGCCCCATGTTCTGACCACCACGCACTTCAGAGTTGTGGTCAGCACTTTTAGAGGGCAATCTCAGTAGGGACTGTCACCACGTCACCAAAATGACAGCTTGCTGCTAGAGATGCCGTAAGACTATGGAGTTCCGGCTATATTTTCCTGTCTCTTTCCTGTCTCCCTTCCTTCATCTCCATAATGCAGGCACCAGCCTCAGGGACCTGAAGTGGTTTTGCCTGAATTTCTCTTGTGGCATTTGGGTCAGATAAAGACTGAAGGGAGTACCCTTGAAACGAGAACAACTAAAACTGATGATACATTCTCGATTACGGCGTCCGCTGTGTTTTCCTGGAAAATAAGTAAGCACTTACGCTGCAAGACAAGGCTGGTGCAATATTGTACTATTCACATCATATTTAATAACGCTCTAGTACCATTCAATATAAATAAATAACCATTAAAAATTATTTTCTTGACATTCTCTTTCCTTTGTCAATAGTATTTTCTGCAACAGGAAATGTTAGTAATATTCATTGGTTGGTTAATTGGATGGATCTCAGAGAACGTGAATATCAGATACTAATATGCTAGTAAAAAACAGGCGCTGGGATGCCTTCTCTTCTTTAAACACTTCAGGCTGGATCTGCAGCTTCCCTCCTTCTTGCATTCACTGCATTCGCTTTCCCTGAAGCCTGTGACTCTGACCGCTGCTCCACTGCTGGGCTCCCACCCAGCTCTGCTAACAAACAAGCAGCCGTCTTAGCTTGTGGTGTCTCTTACTCACCTACCCTCAGCTGATACACCTCGGCTGGCAGCAGTCCTTGCCCTCCTTAGGCTGCTCGACAGAGAAAAGAAGTATTATTTGTGCTGAACAGGTCCAAATGGCTGCTAGCCTGGAGTATCAGCTGGCTACATCCACGCTGTCCATCCAAGGTCTTGGTCCTGCATGATTTAGTGACTGACAGAATTCCCTTATTCACGGAAATACTATTCCACAGGGCCAGGCTGGGGTGAGAATGGAGATGGTGCGATAGGGCTGGTTGTGAGAGCAGCTCCTGTCACCGGAATCCAGGTCCCCAGTGGGAAAAACAGGAATAATAATTTTGCTTTCTTACAGGGATGCAGAGGGGACCTCTCTCTAAAAACATGTGTGTGGAGGGCATCCTTTGCAATGGGAACAGACCCTTGCTACAAACACACCCCGGCAGTGCCAAAACCCTGCGTAGGACCTGCGTGAGATTAAAGGCCAGGGAATTCATCGCCATATCCCCTCCTGTTCATACGGGCAGAAACCCTGCCCATCTTGGAGGGGAAAATGGAGGATTGTAAATCCTTTATTCCCTCGCTCTTGCTCACTCATCAAAACCACAAAGAAGGGGACTTAATCTTGGTTTAATGCTGGGTGGAAGCATTGAGCCCACCTGCCTGGT